TTAATTATTTTCTTGACATTCCTCTATAATGTTTTCTTCCTACACACCCCCCAGCTAAACTCTAAATTTGGACTGCTCTGTTTTCTTTGCTTGAGTAGCTAAACTTTGATGGAGAAAATCCACACCGCATTATAGACTATCACTATAAGTTTACAATCCTCAGTGGCAGCCAGGGCTTCAGTATTAGCCGTCAATCTTTCTTGTGACTGATTTTCAGTTTTAATGTTTCAACTCTTATTTATCCTAATGAATATTCTGAGCCCTTGACACTTTCCTCAAACATTTTTCCCATAGCTTGTGTTCATCAAGCAACCTTTACTTTAAGGTCATTAGGGGGCTTTAAGTGACTGGAGAACTTAAAGCTTTAAGTGGCTTTTGGTTCTATCACTTCTAGAACTTTCTAGAACCCCATGTTACTCCTGAGTTGTCTCTCAAACTTTTGTGAGATAAACACTATTCTATACTTGATGTAGACTGGCTATAGAATGTCCTTCAAAGAATGGCAGTAGCACCTATAAGAAGAGATAGGGTCCAGTGACAGGTTTTTGGCCACAGGAGCAAACCTTTAAAGAGACTTCTGGCACCCCAGTATTTTCCCTTTCCTATTATGCTTCTTGGCCCATGAGGTGTGCTAAGTCCTTGGCATAAGTCCAAAGCAATGATGACAGTCAATCATTGGTTGTAACTTCCTGTTGTCATTACGTTTTTATTGTGACAAAACACTATGGCGAAGGCAATTTACAGATATAAAATGCTTATGGTTTCAGAGATTTAGAGACCATGATGGGGGAACAAAGGCAGCACGAACATCCAAGAGCTCACATCTTGATTCACAAACAGGAGGCAGAGGAAAGCATACTTTTTGTAACCTCAGAGTCCAGTGACATACCTCTTCCAGCAAGGCCACACTTGCTAATCCTTCCTAGACAGTTCCACCAACTGAAGTATGTTAGATGGCTGTTCTAAATACAATCTAATAATATCCCACTCCTAACCTGCACTGATTCCCTAATGCCTGGAAGTAAGTCCTGTATGTTAATAGTCCTGAGACCTGGCATGTGCCATGTGCTTCTTTCTACACTGCCTTTGTCAGTTCCTGCCTCCTTGTTCCTTAAGCTTTAGCACAGAAGAGAGCTTGAACTTCCTTTGAGCTGTTTAGTTTGTTTGTTTTTGCCTTCCACTGCTTTTACACTCCTTGCCTGCCAAGACCCATCTTTATCACTTTTAACTTGGCTAATTCTTTCTCTCCTTCAAGTCTAGGTCCAAGAGGTACTTAGAGTTACTTATTTTAAGAATCCCCCTTTTTTTTTTTTTTAAAGAACCATACTCCTACACTCTAGACAGAGTTGGCTACATTGCCCTTTTATGCCAAAGTTCACTGCCTGAAAGATGTCCTAGTGTACTTGTTTGTTTATGAGATTGTGAGTTCTCTGAAGCTTGAGAAACGTAGTATTTTTCTATGTACTCCTGTATATGTTGGTGGCATGGAGTAAGTACTTAATAATTTTAACATACATGTTGAACAGACAAGTGGTTCATTAATGAAAACCATTTTGTGTCTAAGATGATTCAATTTGCAAATGGGCAGTAGAGGAGGAATCAGATCTACAAGCTTGTGGCTGCCTCTCAGGTTTGATTCTGAGTAACAATGGGCATAGTGATATTTGAATAACACTGCTAGATTTAGGGGTAGAAAGTGCCCCAATTCAACTGAGTCCCCAGATAAGCTGAAAGTGTTTGTACAAGAGCTAGTGTCTAGGGGATGAAGAGGATTCTTTAGAATGCTACTAGACTTCTACTCCATGTGCATACACTTTATTTCAGTCAAATCTATAGGAAGGGGTCTTTGCTGAATAAACATTTTTTCTCTATACCTTGCCTGAATAACTTAAAAATATGGAACAAAGAAGGGCAAGACAGAGTTAAAGCTTTTTATTTTTTCCTCTCTTATACTGATTTTCTTTCTAAGGTATTCATAAAGACTCTGCACCCCAACTAAAGCAAAAAGGTAAGGGTGAATTCTTTGAAGCTCAGCAGAGTAGCTGTGATCTTTTGAAGTTAAACTTATTAGTGGCCATGGGGTTAAAATAAACCTAATAATTGCGCTCGCTTCGGCAGTACATATACTAAAACTGGAATGATACAGAGGAGATTAGCATGGCCCCTGCACAAGGGAAAAAAAGAAACACCTAATAATTATTGTTAAAAGTTATGATCCCAGGATGCCTAGTGAGTGGCAGGTACTTCTCACAGAATATCATAATCACGTTTTCCACAACCACCTCCTAGAAATAGCACCCCCCCTTTTCTCTTCGAACAACTAATGTTCATCTTTTTCTCTTTGAATAATTAATGTTAATTGAGCTCAGATAACTTGGAGAAAGGTCCAAAGGATGAGTTGGGCAGACTTCAGGGCCAAAAGGCAAGATGCTTGTATCAGGCGACACTGAGCCTTTCCCGATCTCTCAGAGTTTTGTCACCTGCCCCAGTGAAGGCAAAATGGGTGACCTGGGGAATCAAAGGAAGCTCCTTAAGGAACTAAACATGGGGAGTTGAAAAAAGGCAAAGGGACTTGGTTGGGAGCTGGAATCGCAACCGCAGAGTCACCAGGGAAGAGCAATACTGGGTGGCTTCTCAAAAGGTAGGCAGGCGGGGCGGGGCATGGGCGGGAGCCCGGGAACGTGCAGCAGAGTGCACGGGCCAGGAATGCCGCCTCACCCGGGCGAGCGAAGGTGAGGGGAAAGTGGGCGCAGACCTGACGGGCGCCTCCGTGTCTCGCCGAGGCTGCCGGTTCTCCCCAGGTGTGCAGCCCCGACGCCTCCGTCGCACTTGCCCGCGGGGGTGTCGGTGCGGAGCGGGCGGACAGGTGACGCGCTGGCGCGAGCGCGCGGAGCGCTCCCCCCGCCTCTGCGCAGTGGTACGGCCCTGCCCGCCGCTGATCTGGCAGGCTGCGCGCGCACCCCGCGGCGGGGCGCGGGCCGGGGAGCCCCGGCGTCTGCGGCCCGCCTCCGTCTCCGCCGGTTCCCTCCTCCCTGGGCTCTGGTGCCGGGCGTTCGCGCGCTCCGCGGGGAGGAGCGCGGCCGCGGGGGCGCGCCCCGGGACTCCGCCCCCCAGCTCCCCTCCCGGAGCCCGGGTGCCCGGCTTGCGCGCCTCGGTACGAGACGGGGTCCTCGCGCCGCCCCAGCGCCCCCGCCCCGCGTGAGAGGCGCCGCACCCTCCGGCCGCCCTGCCCGGTGCATGGAGGGGCCCGTCCGGATCGCAGTCGCCGCCGCCGCCGCCAACGCGCGGGGGATGACCTGAGGGTGGCTCTCGGAGCCGGCTGCAGCACAGGAGGTCTGGGGGCTTAGCCAGCCCCGCGGAGAGGTGCGGGGGTCCCGCGGCAGGGTCCTGGAGGGTGGCCCGGGGTTGCGAGCTCGAGGCCCCTCGGCTCGGGAGCGGGAGGTCCTGGGGAAGCAGAGGCCGGCTTGCCCCCAGAGCGCTGGGGTCTGGGGTGGAAGGGCAGCCGAGGGATGCCCGGCAGCCTGCGCACCGCCGCATCCTCCGGCGCGCGGAACCACCTCGCAGGAGGAGGCGGGGTGAGGTGTCAGTGACATGCTGAGGTCTTCTTCGGAGATCTGCCGGGGCAGGTGGGATGAAGCGTAGCGGGGAGCAGGGGGCGCGGGCTCTTTTCCCAAGGGAGCCGACCCTGTCGTCCCTCGCAGTCCCCGCAGAGTGCCAGGGAGAGACAGTGATTTATGTGTAGGGAGACGCTAGAGAAATTTCCTGCACAATGTATCTTTCTCTGCCTTCACAGACTCAGTGCCTTCCCAGCCCCAGGGAGTGTATTTTTCCTTCTCTTCTGGGAAGCTTTCTGTGGCTCGCATTATCATTTACTAAATACTTTAAATACACCGCTATTTATTTCAGCCTGCAGCTTCGGACCTTTGTTGCTTTCTCTCCACTTTTAGGAATTTTCAGTAATAAATCACCGAGGGGGATAGATAGACTCCCCTGCCCTTCGCTTCATTGTTCTCCCTAACCCCACCAAATCAGGTGGAAGGCCCTGGAGAAAGGAACCCTGCACAGAATGCCTGCCTTTCCTCATGGGGGCCACAGAGGGTGGCAGGTGTTTTAAGGGAAGACTGTTCCCCAGTTGGGCTGTCGAATTTAGGGAACCTCATTAGCAGAAAGCCAGCCTTTGTGTCCTAAATCAGACACCTTGGGAAACAGGAGTTTGGACTAAAAGGTAACGTGAGATTTTGTCTCAGGCCAATGCCTGAGACATTGATGAAATGTCTCAGGAATGATGAAAGAGGCTAAGTGAGTTAATTCAGAGTCCATGCCTCACTGATACCATACCCCTCGGATTCCCAATGGACATTTGGCATAGCTCAAGGACTGTCGCCAGAAGGAGGTGTATGAGGGACTGGAGAAGAGGTGCTGTAATTTTAATTCTAGACATTCTGTCACTTTTTTTTTTTTTAAATAATTCTTCCTTTCCAGTCTACTTTTAGATGAAAATGTGGGATATAGTTAGTTTAACTTTTAGGATAAGATGAAAGAAAAACTTAAGAAAAGTTCTGGAAATTTTAGATCAGTGTTAAACTCGACGGAATTCTTAGAAACTCAGAGAGGCACTGGATACTGTAGTCTCTGTTACACACATGTTGAAATAAATTGCTGCATACTTTAAGTTATATGAGAAGAATGGAGAAAACCTGTTTCATTTTGTAAAGACATGCCTTGGGTGTGTGTTTGGCAGTGTGTAAAGGAGAAACGTTTATATTTCTACAAAACACAAATGTATATTGTTTAACTTTCTTGCAAAAACTCGGACGCAGTATTTGGGAAGTCTGTCTTTGAATAGTTAATCACCTAGCAAAATCAGTTACTAGAGGTGCTGTGCTATTGTTTGTGTAGTGACTCACTTGGGATGCTTTGATTGACTGCTGTGGTTCCCATCAGCCTCCACTGTGCAAAGTACTTAAACAACACTGACTTTCAATCGGGAAGTACAAAGAACCTGAGGACCTGGCATACACCGATCTAACTTGTGTAGGTTGGCTCCGGCCTCTCCCTAACTTCTGGTGGGTTTTGCAGGTGGCCTGATTTTTTTTCTTTTTTCTTTTTTGGAAGGCGTTAACTTCACTTTAAGATAGGACCCTCCCCCATCATCAAGGCATATATAGAGGCGTGCCCAGGGATAGGCACTTGTGTCATAGGGTGGTGCTCCGAAAAGGTCAGGTAAAATTTAATAACTGGTTCTTAAGCTTTCCTCTTGTTTTCCCACTGTGTGTGTGTGTGTACTCTCATGGCTCTCTAGAGAGCTTCTTTCGTTCTTTTTTTTTATTGCAATGGGATTTTTCTTCTCTGGAGACGTTTCTTTTGTAAACATGTAGACTAAAATTTGATGAATGTGTCTAAGTAAAATGCTAGAGAAGTGATTACAGGGATTAAACATGATCTTTGTGAAATCAAAAAATATAAAAGATAATGGATTGGAAAACTTGTTGTTTTAATGTGTGTTATTAGTTAACATCATGTGATCAGCATCTCTAATAAGTAGAATTATAGCCAGGACAGTACAATTACCTACCAGATAGGCTTTCTTTGGCTTAATGATCTTAATTCTTACTACAGACTAATTAAAATAGGAATTTGTAGTCTGGTTGCTAACTGTACTGCTTTGGAAGAGTTTTTAACATTGGGCTATTTTATTTGTTAATAATGACTGGTGCTTTTTTCTGAGAGTTTTTTTTTTTAACTCACCTAGAATGAATTAGAAAATGTTACATTGTTCTTATTTACACTTTTACATTGTATCCAAACACCCCACATAATAAATTTTTGTTGTGTAGGTGGCATGCATGGACTGTGCACAGGAGGGGAGGGCTGTATTTGTTTACTGTTAAAATGAAGGGCTAGTATACAAGAATATACTTAATGTCACTTTTTAAATACTGGGTTACTTGAAATGAAAAGCTGTGGGGTTTTTTGTTTTGTTTTGTTTTGTTTTCCCTTAAAAAAAAATCCTTCAAGTTTTCTCTCATTGTTTGTGCACTTTCCCTCCATTGTCAGGCTTAAAACATACAGTATCATTGTCATCTGTCCCCTGAATAATGGTCCTGAGGTGATATTATTAATGTGGCTTTTTAAAATCAAACTAATTATACTTGCCTAAAAGAGCCACATGTGTGTGATTCTAGCTGCCTGGTGCCTTTTGAGAGCCCTGGAGACAAGCTAGTGAATAGAGCTGAAAATTCATTCTGTATTTGATTAAATGGAACAGACTCGCTGCTCCTTACCACAGCAGGGGCTGTGAGATCTCTTGATCCCCGAAGCGGCTCCTCGACCCTGGGAATTCCATTAGCGAGCACCTGAGGAATTTCTGCCCTGCAGTGCCTTTTTTGTATGTGTGTATGTGTATGTGTGGAGAGGGAGTAGAGCTGAGTGGTGATGGGGAGGGGGGAGGAGTGGGGGCGGAGAGCAGGCTGCATTAGAAGGCTCCATATGTTAGCAGATCTAAAATCAAGGCATGACTTAACAGCTTATCTTGTAAGAGAAAAGCCCAACCCAAAGGCAGACTGCTGGTGGGGGACTTTATTACAGGCAGGGCTGTGGTGATGTGCTTTTAGCACTGAAGCGAACCCTAGTGTAAGTACAGAGTGGCGCTGCTCCGCTCTCCCTCTGCGCACAAGCGTGTACACGTCTGCAGCCTTGGTAAGTTTTCTTTGAGTGATCTTTGGATAAATATGTGAAATTGTATTACAGTGTACTACATCTTGCCTGGGAGGGCTGATGTGTTGTGTAATGACTTAAAATTTGAGAGCAAAGTCAGGCTTTTATGGCAGTCAATTGCCTGTGCAGAAATGAAATGCCTGTTTGAATAGGCATATTTTAGTTTATAACTTTAATTCCATATGATCTTGTTATGTTTCTTCTTATTATAGAATTTAAATTCACTTTGTCTCTCCTGTCTGTTAGCATTTTAAAGAATCCTGTTGCTTTCTAGTATTTTGAGCCATTGCTCTTCAGACTTGCCAGCAGCCCCAAGTAAATGAAAATATGATTTCCAAAAACATTCTGTACAATCTGTGGCGCAGATTTGTGGAGAAGCATTGGTGTAGCCCCTTCTGCCCTCTCTTCCTCTACCCTTGGAATATTTTTGAAACAACTTTTTTCAGAATACTAGCCCAGTTCACTTCGTGTGTATTTCCACAGAGGACGGGTTGGAGTTTGTGGGTGGTATTGTTAATTGATTTTCATCTTCTGGGAAGGTGAATCACATTGTGAACAGTTTTCAGCTCATGTAGAATGCAGGGGTGTGTTTGATGGCTGCTGTGACATACTTTATTGCTCACTAGCATCATGTAGATAGTCCAGTTCTTTTCTTCCCACTCCCATGTGGTCCTGTACCAGGTTTTCATAGTACCGCGTGTTTAGAATAGAGAGAGCCCCCTTTGAGAATATGTTTACTCATTTTCCTTCTTCACCCTGGACATGCCTTCTAAGAAGTAGATTAAATTGTGAAGTCGGTGCATGTTTGGCTTCACCGTTTAGTTGCTGTATAATATGTTTTGATGGCCAGAGATAATTAAAAAACAAACAAACAAAAAAACTTTATAGAACACTTTGTTCTGCTGTGTGTGAGTTGGAATGTGAGTCAGAGCTTCAGTTCTTGAATGCCAAGGATGTGCCTTTTAATAGAGAAAAAAATCGTAAGCTGGTTACATTATTGAACTTAGGTTACCAATCCTGCTCATGTTTCCTTGCTTGAAGCTGTGTAGTTGATATTATTTTTGTTACTGTAATAGAAATTGAATTAAGGAACTGACATAGAACTTGCTTTTCAGCTTTTCTTACTGTTTTTGTGAGCTTGGGTAATGATCTTGACCTAGCCTTGAATCCTTTATCTGTAAAAATGGCGATTAAATGGATAGAATATGTCCCACTATGGGATTAAGTGGGTTAATGAAAGTAAAACATTTGGCAGATAGTAAAACTTCTATAAATGTTAGCTGCTGTTATTTTTATTGATTCAGCCTGTGCCTGTTAGTTTGTTACTTTGGTCCAAAAGTGGTTCCTTTTAAGTTCTAAGTAAGGAGGAAGTCTCGGAAGTTCATAACAATGTGTCTGTCCCATGTAATTGCTACAACTTGACTGGTTAAAATTTTCTTAAACTTTCATTTGAAACTTGGAAAGCATTTTGTGTGGAGCCTTTTCAATCTAGACAAAGGTATGCACAAGGGTGCCCTGTAGTCAGCAGACAAGTGAATAATTGGGTGTGCACTTACCTGTGCAGTCATTAGCTGATCCAGTTGCATTTCCTTTGCCTGGGAAGGCTCCCTCCTGCTTTTCCTTGGCCTTCCTTTCCCCATGTAGGCAACTGTGCTGCTCAGTCTGGCCATAAAGCAATTGTGCCTGTTCTTGAACTTGCTGAAATGGAGTCATAGCGTGGCTGTATTCCTGCACGACTCCTTCTGTCTGTGCAGTTTACCCGTGCTATTGTAGGCAGTACTTACTCATGACTCTAAAGTCTTTACAGAGTCTTTTGTGTGTTTTGAAATTTATTTTATTGGCACATGGGGTATATGGTCATTGGCAGAAAAAAGAAAAATAACATTTCCTCACATATTATTAGAAGACCAGATCCCAGTGGCTATTTTTTGGGGTGGGGAGGGAGGGCATCAGTTTTTAAATATGAAGCTGAGTTGGAGGTCACTTGGTCACCTTTGTTTCCAATTCCGTGTACCAAGTCCTCAGATAATACATTCATTTTCTGTTTCTGGTTATTCTGGAGGTAAAGGAAGGAACTTCAAGATAGAGAAAACGGAGTATATGAGATAGCTTGTCATCTTTATGTTTGGGATTAAGTGCCCTGATCAATACTTAGAATTGACAGAAATAACCACCAGCTCAACTGTAGTGTCCTGCTCATTGTGTAGAAAATGTAACTGCAGAATGTTTATGTACATACATATATGTGTTTTTGTGTGCAGATACTGTTTTTTGATGAAAAAAAAAGTGTATCAAAAATTGAGGGAAGTAGAGTTACGCTGCTTTGGTCCAAGGAAACTTTGAAGAACAAGGCCACACAGTTCTGTTGTGGAGGGGGGTTTTACCCAACCCCTGAACAGTCGCTCTACGATGAGGCTCTCTGTTTATGCTCTTTGAAATTCCTTAGTATGGGGAATGAAATTTATCTCACAAGCGGTAAAACAAAAAACCCAAAGTGATAGCGATGGATATGAAATTTTTTTTTTCAAAAATTGTAGGGGACTGTAGTTGAGATGAATAGCTTGTACTATGTTATAAGAAATGTTGATTGAGGGTTTTCTGGATGTTTTGCTTGGACATTAGCCAATTTTTCCTCAGGAGACATTGTGTTTTTCAGCATTTGTAAGTTTATTAAATCTTTCTATTCATAGCTCCTTGACACAGGTCATTTTTCACAGATAGCCATGGGTAGGAAAGGATTACTCTGACTCCCAAGGAGCCTGTTATGGCCAGGATATCATTAGATGGTGGGGACAGCTGTTGTGGTCATGTGTGATTCATTTGTTAAAAATTATATTTTAGATTTATTTTATTTTGAGGGTATGAGTGTTTTGCTTGCATGTATGTATGTGCCCTCAGAAGAGGTTGTCAGGTTTTTGGAATTGGGAGTTACCAGTGGTTGTGAACTACCATGTGGGTGCTGGGAACAAATCCAGGTCCTCTGTAAGAGCAACAAGTGCTCTTACAACCGAGTCATCTCTCCAGCCTACATCTTTTTTTTTTTTTTTTCCCCTGTAGGGGCACCTGTAGATGCAGACTATGTTCCAAAGCAAAGAACTGTCCAGCAAATAGAGCCTCCTTGTGCATAGTCATGCAGTTTGAAAGCCTGTGGGTCCTTCTGTTCTAATAGTATTTGCCAAGGATGATGTGTAAAGAATCCCATTGTGGGTGAAAGACTGGACTAGTGACCTCTAAGGGCCTTTATGGGCATGCCAGGGTTCGATGAAATAAGTTTCAGGGTATAGCTAGGCCACATACCCATCATAGCATAATTCTAA